GGAGTCCGCCGCCGGTGGCTCGTTCACCGTCACGCCCGACACGTCGGAGCCCATTGCTCGTGGTACGCGCATTGTGCTGAAGCTCAAGGAGGACAGGGTTCTGCCTGATCGCTTGTCGTAATCCTTCAGACGAGAAAGTCTTGCCACAGCATCCAGTTACCACGGGGAAGTCAAACAGCTCCAGTGTGATTGGACATATCAACACCTTTTCGCGTTCCAACAGGTTCCTTCGAGTAATATCACGCTGGGTTTCTGCTGCATCACTAGCTTGCTCCAATAACTGCGCTCGCTTCTGATCAAAAGCAACCTCCTGCTCTTTCAGACGCTGCGTCAAGTCCGGATTGGATTGCTTGATCATCTTGTGTGTCGTTTTCAATGGGCTTTTTCCAGTACTGCGTGGTGGACATTCTTCATTGCCATGTACTCGATCATACGCACTTAGTAGACTCCGTAGCTGTGGCATTGCGCTTTCAAGTGACGAGACGAGTTCAGTCTGCGCGCCAGTCTGTCGAGTAAGCGCTTGTTGCTGCCACTGTGCACGCTCTTCCTCGAACGCTCTCCTTTGGCTATTCAGACGTTGATCAAGTTGTACCAGTCTTTCTCTAAGAAATGTTTCCTTCTCGCGCGCATCTCTCACTCTATCATTAGAGTCCGCCGTAACTTTGACAATACTCGCTTGCTGGTCACGAACCAGTTTATTCTGATCTTGTAGACGCTTCTCTAGTTGCTTTACGGTCGCTTGCAGCAGTGTTTCTCTATCATTAGCTTCTCTTACCTTCTCAATCGATGCTGTCGTAGCTTGAGAGAGACTCGCGTCCTGGTCTCGAAGACGCCGACGCAAAGATCCGAGCTCTTCTCTTAGTAGACGCTCTGCTTGTCTGTGGTTCGCTCTACTGTCAAGGGCTTCCTGGAGTTCTTCTTTCTTGGTGCAAAGCGCGTCCTCTAAGTCCGATATCTCGCCCCAAAGCTGCTCTCGCTTGTTATACAGCGCAATCTCTAGGTCTCCAGCCTTCTTGGCGAAACGTTTCTTTTCCTTTTCAATCTCCTGTTTCTGCTCGTCTAGCTCGTCATAGCGTTCCTCTTGCAGCTCTTCCCGTGTGTAATCGTTGAGTAGTATCAGAAGTAGGAGAGCGCATGGCGGCATCTTGAATGACTATCATTGTAACAGCTAGAAGTTGTTGCATGAAGAATCTCCGGCGCCCTGTGTACTTCTTCAGAATTGCGTTGAATGTTTCCCATGGGTTATTGGTCGTAGCATAACCAAGTGGGGTATGAAACACTTGTCAACGTCAGTATCTACTCTCCAGCCACCGCTCGGTAAAATACTTCGTAAAAAGCTTCAGTTGAGGAATTGCTCCCAATACAGCCAGGACGGTGACTTTCAGTGTGTAGTATGTGTTCAAGTTGTCAGCATAGTGAATCCGAGCGATTCCGTCTGTTACAGCTTGTGTGTCCTTCTATCCGGTATTTTACTGTAATTGGTAGAAACCCTTTCATTTTGCAAGCTTATTCTCAAATAAGAAAACGCAAAAGACTTACAAGCCCTGCTGTTGCTACGTTGGTCCTTTTGCACTCACCTGCTACCTATAGGATCTCGCATAGCACTTTTCCTTGAGCTGGTAATCATGACGTTGTTTTGCTCCCTTTGCGCTACATTCACGCTTA